AAACCTTATTTAAGATTAGAATGTTATATTAAATTTCAGATTGAGAGGCTTAATGAAAAATATGACTTTTAAAAAGGTGTTATTTTGTCAAATAAGCCTCATCAGAAATCTAATTTACAGAGATATAATGGTGTTAATTTCAGCATTCATTTTCAATGAATTGATGTGTTATTACACTTACATAAAGTTACAAACTTTAACCTCCTTAATGTTTGTTTCTGAAATTGGTTATGAATATCTCCAAAGGCTACATGGAAGTGAAGGTGAAATTAAATTATATGCTTTGATTTAGATTTTATAAAAGCAATAGCATAATGGACATTTTTATAAGAACTCTTAACAACTTTATGACACATTTTCTTATATATTATGTCTGTATTGCAGGCTTATTTTGTTTTTAAAAGTTTTTGGGTGAAGTATAAGTACTAGCTTGTTAACTTATCTGTATCTGTACTCAGTATCGGCAAGTACTTAAACTAAAGTATACATACTCTGGAAAAAAACTATCATCAGGACACCCCAAGTTTTAACAACTGAAGAGTATAAATAAATAAAAAATAGATAAAAATCTAAGACAGGATCAGAAATGAGAATCTTAGGATGTGCAAATGGAAAAGTGAAGCAAAATAGGTCACATTTTAGATACAGAAGTCCTTCCCCTTTCTGTTTGGTCATTTCTGTGAATCATTGAAATCTTTTTTAGGATATATGAGGAATTGTGATATGCTAAAAGTTTTAAGGACAGGCAAAGTGTAATTTTTATAGGTCTAAAGAGGGTTTCTAATGGAATTTCTTTTCATGGCCTCCTCTTTTCCATTCTTAATGACTGCTTGTTGTGGTTTGAATTGTTTTAAATTCAGTTTCATGTATTCCTCATTTTTAAATCAAGCAATCTTGAACTTCATGTTGCCACTTTATGAACTTCTAAAATGATTGTTTTGTCTAACAATCTTTCATAATGTCCTTGAAATGTTCTAACAGGTTGGTGAGCGGAGGAACAAGCTGTCTACCCTGGTTCGGTTCCCCCTGACTGCGCTGAACATGGCCCCTCATGTAGCGAAGAGCAGTCAAAGTATGAAGAATCTGCATTCAGGGTCTTCTTCCTCTTCCCGGAAACAAACTTCAGGCCAAACTCATCCTCCTGCTGACTCACTCCTCCCACAAGATTGCCTGTACGACCTCTATGCTGTGTGCAACCATCATGGAGGAATGCATGGAGGACACTATACAGGTATGGAGCTGATTATGACAGTGTTTATATGTCAGTCATGCACTGCGTTGGCACTGGTGTCGGATCAGCTCTATAGGTTAAGTAAAAATTACAGTTTCATTATGTTTAAAATAACCGCAACAGAGCTGTTTAACATGTTGCAACTGGTTTTATTTTAAACAATCACATCAACTTCTGCTAAAATAATAAGACATGCAGTACTATAATTACAATTTTATTGTGATTTATAACAGTTATGTTATTTTAATAGGCTTGATGGGATCAGTTTTGTTGAGGGGGAGATCCTGTGAAGTCTTTTCGCTTTGAGTTTCTAAAAGAAAAAAAAGAAAAAACAAGCTCAATTTGTATACCTTCAAATGCAAAACATATGATGGTGGTTTAACATAAAAATGAAAGTCCACCTGCAGCCTTGAAAATGTAATTTAAGTCGACAAGAACATTGTTTTGGTTTTAACTCGGAAATTAAAGTTTGTGAAGTTGATTTAACAAGAAATAAGTTGTCTAAAAATATTGTTTTTTAAGTTCATTAATCTTGAATTGTGAGTTTTAACTTAATGCTGCAAATTAAACTAAATAATTTCACAATATGCAAGAAAAACCCTGTCCTGTTAGTTAAACAGCCACATTTTTCTATTATTTTACTCACAATATCAAGTTAAAATAACTTTTTTTACTTTAGAATAATTTAAATTCTTGTTTCAAATTACATGAACAAAATTTCTGATCTGATAATAAATTTTATTAAACTTCACGATGAATTCAGCTCTAAAACATTTAGTGTGAACAGGACTTTATCCTCAAGCTTTAAAACAAACATTTTCCTTAATAAAACACCAGAGTTGGATCAATGTAACGCACTTCCATCTCAGGATACAGACACATGCCGCTAAGCATTCTGGGAAATAGTTCGCGCTCCTGTCTTTTTCTTCTTTCAGTTTTTAAAGTGCTAACCTAAAACCTCTAGTTTATTCAACTCTTGGAGGTTTGACAAAATTAATAAAAAGTTAATTTTATTAATTACATTTTTAATTAAGTTTATCTTTCACAAACTCACATTTAGGTTCAAAATCTAAAACTCCCTAAATCTATTTGACTTGGAGTGGAAGATGGAGTAGACACAACTAAAAGTTGCTCCAGTGATTTACAGTGTAGCCATCTCACTTCTTCTCCTGTTCATCCAAGAGATACAAAAAATAAATTGGTTAGTTCAGATAATTTCAAAACCAATTTTTGTCCCAGATTTACCTTACCGACATCCGCCCTTTAAAAAAGCAAAACCTGTCCTGTTTTAGTTAAGACAAGATGCTGCCCTGCTGTTGTTCCAGTCGCAGAGTATTTGAGTTCAGCATGCAGTAAGCTGCCATTCATCACAAACACATAATTACCAACAGACCTTTGATTGCCGCTGAGAGCAAATATCTGATTAGTCAGATCAAGCGTTCCTGGTAATTTGATTGACCTCAGTTAATCTACAGACAGTAGGCAACATCCATAACAACCAATAATAGAAATATAACGAGAGCATTAAAATAAATATTCACCTTTTTCATGAGGCTTGAAAGATGAACTTAGAAATATTAAATTTAACCTTGACATATATGTATTTTTCTCTTGACTTAAGGTCAGTTAAATATTCTCTTGTGGACCTTGAAGTGCTTGGCAATAATTTATCTGCTTTTAAGACATTAACTCTAAATGTAATTTATGAGAAATTAGTCAGAAGTTATTAATAGCTGCTCCGGAACTTTACTGCTGGAAAATGTAAGATTGCGTTTTGCCGTCGCGATGAAAGCTGCTTTACACAAACAATGTGCTCAATATGTACATGCAGTTTATTATAAAAGGGAGTGTGGTTGCACCTCTGCTCTGTGCAAGAGTTAGAGATGTGAAAAGTTTCCCTTAAATAACATATTTATTTTATATATGAGCGCAGAGGCCAAGTAAATGGGAAGCAGCATAGGCTGGGCCTGAAAAAGCACGTAGGTGAACAATATATGTACATTTTTCTTTTATTAGTATGACGTAACACAGTGGAAGTTACATTTTAACTAACTTCAACTTGTTTTTTAAATCAAATTTCCAGCTTCATTTTTTATTAAATGGAATATAAACAAATTCAAAATATTCACAAGTTCCAATTCTGAACAGTTTAGAGAAGTTAAACGTCATTTTGATCCATTAAAATTAGTTTGGCAAGTGATGCTGGCAGGATCTGAGTTATTTATGGAGAATCTTACTAACACAGTTCGCTGATCATTCATTCAGTGATGGGTGACCTCAAACTGGAGGGAGAGGTTTTTTCTCCTTCAATTCGACTTGACTTTGAACATGCTGAACCCTTAAGTGCAAAGGGTCTAGAGGTTAATATTATGGAATGCAGTTTCTCAAGCAAAGGAAGTTATGGTATTTTCCAAACCACTGGGTGTTTCTGGAGTTAGAGAGTCATGTCAAAAAGTTCCCCAGCGCTCCACAGAGCTGGCTGGGACACAATTTTAAGATGGGTGACAAACACCATCTTGCCCAGCAGCTTGTTCTGATTTAGGCTCCCTATCTGTCATTTCTCCTGGCTGGTTGGGCCGCAGAATCCATTCAAAGGGAGGATGATGGAGTCAAGATTTCAGAGTAAATCAGTAGGACCAAAAGTGGTTTGAAGTCTCTCATTAAGTTGCTGAGTAACGAGTAATGCATGGGGGGGTTACAGGTAAAATGATGGTAAAAGAAGGCAGCAGCGAAGGATAGTGAAGCTAAAATTACAGAAAAGCATGATCATTTCATGTTGTGCCTTTTAGCTACTCCACTGGTTTTGCTCTTGGATGCTGTTCTCTCTTTCCTCAGTTCATACTCCACTAATTTTATTTCTCTGCAGTTTCTCCTCCAACTTTTCCTAAATTTGTCCCTAGTCAACTTAGTTTTTTCCCTCAAGGATATTTCCCTAAAACACAGATATAAATGTACAAGAACAATAAAACATCTGAATATACATTTAAAAAAAACAACAATATTTTGAATTGAATTTTGAGTCAGATGGTAAAAACGGTGTTTGGGAGGATAAAACCTATGTTGCTAGAGAAGTATAATGGAGTTGGATTTCTTTCACAACCATCTGTTCAAAACATACTTTTTTGAAGGTTCTTTATGTTAGTATGCTGAAATGTTTCACTGCTGAGTTCAATGGGAACATGAAGTGAAAATTGTGTCCATATGCAGGAACCAATCGGTATCAGTCTCATCTTCTCATGCTAACGCAGCACCGCTGGACTGATGCACCACATGCTGTGAACATACATTCAGAATAATGTGTTGTTTTTTTCTTGAAACAAGCAATAAGCTTAAGAAGAAAAAGCTTTGCCGTTCCTCTAGTGTCTTGTATAACGACCTTGTTATCCAGCAAATTTGTTTACATTCTCTCCTGTTTCAAGAAACAACAGAGAGTCATTATCGTCCTCAAGACGTTTTCCATTAATTTTCAGTCATGCAGCAGAGAGTGAGCATGCTGCAAAAGCCACCGCTGCTCAGGGTGACTCAGCGCTATTGTTTGCTTACATTAAGCATGTTTTGATCAAATTCATCAATTTAAATGATTGCAAAGTTTCCAAATGTAAAGATACCACACAATTTACCTGCTAAGCACCTGCAAAATCCTAATTTAAGTTAGCATCATGACAAAAAAAAATTACTACAAATGGCAACAAAACAATTCAAGTCAAATCAGCTTAAACAAGCTGCTGACAAAAGTGTCACCCCTGGTCTGTCTAAAAAAAAAAAAAAAAACTCTCAGTGGTATCCGGGCTCTGCTTCTCCTCATTTGTTACTTTTTAGCAGAAACCCATTTTGCTGCTGTAGGCACAGCTGAGCTCTCACTCTCCAGCTACACCAGCTGATGGCAGCGACCTTAGGGGGAGTTTGGCTACTTCTGTTTTGTTTTTATTGAAACATATGCATCGTGTTGAAACCAAGGCTTTAAGTTCTTCTGCGCTTACTTTAGCTCAGCCCTAAAGGTTTACCGTTATTCATTTTCAGGACCTTAAACTCCACTAAAGGAATTCAAAGTGTCTCTGTGACCTCATGAGACTGTTTCCTCATGGTTTTTACTTCTCAAGGTTGTTGCTTTAAGAGCTGACTTGTAAAATGTTGTTTTGACTAGATTATTGTTGAACTGGCCAGATAGGAAGGGACAATAGCGGTGAATCTTCAACGTCTTGTTTGCTCTAGCTACATGTTAAGGTGAAGGCCGCCGGTAATTGTGAGACGTTGTATGTGTCTCAGTGAAAGAGATGCATGGAGCCTTTTCTGTTTCTACAGTTTGAGTTGCATCATCATGAGAATAACAAATTCTTCCTGCTAATGCAGAGCGCGTAAAAAGATTGAAACAGAAGAAGGATTTAATGCAGTGATTAACTCCGGTTTTTATGCTACTAGTTGTTGACATAAATGGCAGAGTGAAGACTGTGAAAATCATTTTCTTTCTACGTCTGGAGGCTACAGCGAATTAAAAAAGGATCCATTTAGGATTTTAAAGTTTCAATTTAACGAAGCCTTTATAAATGCATGTTATGTTCTGATCCAGCTTACTGTAGGAACTCTGTGGATGGCCAGTGGTACAGCTACGATGACAGCAGCGTGGACCTGGTGCCAGAGGACGAAGTGTGTACCAAGGGAGCTTACATCCTTTTCTACCAGAGACGCAACGTTATTCCTCCATGGTCGGCCAGCAGCTCTGTTAGAGGTATGTTTTCCGACAATGTTAATATCCTCTAAGAATGACAAACTCAGAAATTCCCTCTGCTGCTATAAAAGTGCTGCATATATCAAAACTCACGTAAAAGAAATGTGACGCTTTGAAATTGGGCCTCTATCTCTTTAAGAAGTTCTCACTCGTCACAACAACGTTCTGACATTATGCCGTTTACAACTGTTCATAGGAGTGAGGAAAAAAGGAAAAGCTTTTAATAAAATATTTACTAAAGAATTGTAATATGAGTGAACATCTGTTGCTTTGCCAACCAGAACTTCATCAGTTCTTAGGCACGAAACTTTCCAAGTTCAAGTGAGCAGGCAATTTGTTCCGAAGCATGTCTCCTCTAACAGAGAAACCTGTCTGAGCAGATGATGCTTCACAGAACTGAAATTGAACACTTGAAACAGCTCTGCAGGGTCTGATATTTGAATCTAACAACAAACAGGCGGTTGCACAAATCTGATAACTACTTAAATACTGATTTCAGATGATAAAAATCAGCAAATCTGTCAAAGCTTTTAAAGCTCACTTATAGAAATACTCTTCAGATTTGGTTGTACTGATTATAATCTAATCAAATGTTACTCAATTTTTTTTTCTTTCTAAAATGACACGATGTGAAACGAAATGGAAAGAAATGGTGATGCAGATTTTAGCACACAGAGCGGTGGCTGTTCTTTTGTTTTTTAAATACAGAAGGGCCTCCGTCACATGGCAGCGGGACCGCTGTGCTGTCCAAAGATCTGCCTGCTCAAAATATGGCAAGAGATCAACTGGCCATTTTCAATCTCTTACTGATAAAATTGCACATCCATTTGTAAAAGATAATGCTTAGAATCAATCTTCATTTGCATTCACAATGTTTAAAAAGACACAACTGCTAATCACGGGTCGACTTCAAAAAGAGCTCATATTTAGTCACATTGGCATTACAAACCTTATTGTAATTTATTAAAACCTTTTCAAATAGGCCAGTAAAAAATATTTCATAACTCCTTTTCTAATTATTTGTAAATAACTTACTTTTATTTTAATAAAAACTTGAATGATTGGGGTTGCCATGTATTCAGCCGTCCCCGTTTGTAGATCCACCTTTTGTTACAAGTCCAAGAGCTTGTGGTGTTTGTCCACCAGATCCAGAGATGGAGTATTTTTACCCGATTTTTTTTGTTTGTTTTTGCAAGATACTTTGAGCTTAAGCAGCCTGGATGCAGGGGGATCTGAAAGGATCTCAGTTGAAACTACGCCTGGGGTTTTAACTGAGTCACTCCTGCAATAATTATGCCTGAATTCAAGCCAGTCGGTTGTAGTTCTGGCTTACAATGTTGTCCCTCTAAAAGCTGAACCTCCACTGCACTCTTGAGTCATTTGCAGCCTCCATCATCTTTGTCTTCCAGGATTGACTCATGTTTAGTTTCATACATCAGTCAATTTTCTCTGTGGCTCCTGCGATGGTGTCTTCAGGGTTCAGTGTTTTTTTTTCTTTCTTTTTTTTTTTTTACCACAGAAAAAAACTGTCACCACGTTTTGTGTGTTTTTCTCAATGTCTTGAGGCAAACTGAAAACATTACTTCCTGTATAGGCGGATGGACTGCAAACCTCTTGGTAGGTTTACAGTCTTCGCATATTATTACTTCTTCTTCATTTCTTTTTTTAGACGGAGCTCTCTTGTTTCACACCTTGGCCCTACTGTTTTATAACTGTGATCTGTCTGCTGCGTTTCCTTCTCTTCATGATGCCGTTTGTTTGCTAATGCTGTCTAACAAGTCTCTGGGGTCTCCACAAAACAGCTGGATATAAACCGAGAAAATAAATTACACACAGATGGAATCTCTGCAGTAGTTAGAAAAGGAAGCAGAGAAATTGCTGCATGTAAACGCTCCTCTTGAAGTCAAAATAAAATAATCTCTGGCTGTACAAAGCTGGGAGACGCACAGTCCAAACCACCTGCAGCTGTACAGAAAACAATTTTACAAAAATATTGATTCATGGAGGTTGAAAAGAAGTGCACAATATGTTTCAAATTTTATTTATTTAAGTTTTTTGTATTTAGGACGGGGGATTGTGAATGTATTTAGAGCTTGTCAGTATTATTACAACACTGAATAAGCAAACTACAAAAAAAAGGCTCCACTAATGATGGCTGAGTAGATTTTTTAACTCTGTACATCACCAAGAGAATTGAAAAGAAACAGCAATGTCCCTCTTTTTTCGTGAAAACGGGAATATTCTGATTTTTTCTTAGCCGTGGGCGTTATTTTAGGAAGGTGGCAATATGTAACTTTTACGACTTCATGCGAGTTTGAACAGATCTCTCTATAGGTTCTCTGGCAAACCTTCATGTTTTCCTCCTTGCACACATTTAATGAAACTTAAACTTGTGCCGTCTCTTCCTGATCGTAGAAGTATAATAGCATTTAATATTAATGCTAGCAATAGCCTGCTGTAGGTTCTGTGATGACATTTTAGGGGTTGTAATGGCTCCTTTCCTTCAGGTCCTTGCGCTTTGCTTTGAAGATGAATTTGCTCCAATGGGAATATCTGGGCAGGTTTTCTGTTGTTTTTAATATTTACCACTTTGGGGCTGTTTTCCATGCCATCAAATGGCTCATTTTAAATTATTTTGAGACCATTTTAAGTCCCCTACTAAACTCATGATCTCACCGAATCTTATTTGGGCCAATCAGAGCTCTTGGATCCCACCGAGGAGTTTACTCTCACCTCAACACTAGATCAAGCTAATTATTTGAGATTTAAGCAGAGCAAGACTCCTATAATGTCCTCACCACGAGCGCTCGATGTGTAAGTTGAGCCATTATATTGAAAATAAATGTGATGGTGTAATATTTTCCTTACTAGACATTTTACATTATTTTAGACTTTACAATTATGTTTAAAAGGTATCCCTTGTACTCCATAAGAAGCATAATCATGTGAGACAGGATTAAAAATAAACTAATAATTTTATTAATACCAAATACTGCAGTCATGCAGATGGATTTTTGTTCTGTAGTCAAGTAGTAGGAGAATGTTCTGGTTTTGATTTTCATCCAAAGAAAAATGTAGGAACAAAATGCGTTCTCACAGCGTGCGCCACAGTTCCTTTAGAAATGAAATATTGTTTCACTGAATTTAAATATGGTGTCAATCAGGCAAGGCAATGAATTTAAATTCAAAATGGACTCAATTCTGTTCTTTGTGATTGTTTTTGTTATAAACCACAGGAGATGTAATTATTTAGTCTTGTTTCTGTCTAGGAAAGCGCAGTCGGTGTGATTTTGCTGGCACTTGGAAAAGTTTCTTCTGAGTGATGAAAACAATTAAACTTCAGAAATAAGACCGTAACCCACCTGAATTTTTCACAGCTTTAACGTTTATGAAAGGTTGATTTTCTAGTTTTCTGCAAGCTTTACCAGCATGCTGGTGTCTTTGCTGTGAAATAAGACACCACTGCACTCAGGATGAAGGAATAGAAATAGTTATTCTTCTCATTATTCATTCTCACCGCTGTCTTGTTATCCAATCAGCCTACTTCTATAATTATATTTCTCTTTTTCTTTTCTTTGCTCAAAATATTATCTACCGTGTAGATAATACTGGGATGTGAAAAGTATTTCAGATTATTTTCTAATCCACATTTTTAAAGCGTTCACTGTAACCTCTTTGTTTTCCCCATTCCTGCAAAAGCAAATCTGCTCACATTTCACCAAGATCTATAACAAGGTATTGTGGTATTTTTTATTGCAATTCCGTATGGCTTTATTACATCAAATTACAACAAATGTCTTCTCAATGTGCTTTAGAAGACATTTAATTTATATTATGTTATATAATATTGTCCAATCCAGTCATACTGTCCAATTCAGACCCAAGCACACACAATCCAGTTAAACCCTTCAACTTCAAAATAACATTACTCGAGGAGAAGTAAAGAGTATATGACACTGTAGAAGTGTGTCTAGATGTACATTGCTTTTATATCACTGGTTACTACCCACCTCTGATTATACAATCAAAATATTCTACAGATCTGGAAAAAATGAAGAGCCCACTGCACTGAACCGTATTGAAAACCTCCAGGTTATTCCACCAAACATTGATTTCTGAACTCTTCCTGGGTTAAAATATTAGTACTGTTGTTTCTAAATGAACATGAACTTGTTTTCTTTTTATTATTTGAGGTCTGAAAGCGCTGCATCTTTTTCGGTATTTTAACCATTTCTCATTTTCTGCAAATAAATGCTAAACGTTTGCTTGGAATTTCAGAGACGCATTGTCAGAAGCTCATAAAATAAAAGAACAATGTCAGTTTTACTGAAATATAAACCTACAAAAAGTAAAATCACAGAAACTGATCATTTTAAGTGGTCTCTTAATTTATCCCAGAGCTTTAATAATCATGTAATGGCAATCAGACAAAAGAAAGCCCATGTGACAGCCTTTAATTAACAACTTTGCAGCAGATATGCATATGGCTGCATATGGCTGTAGATAATAGTGATTCCAGGTGATCAACACACTTAGAAATCAGAACATTTTTATTCTTGTTCAACACGTACTTTGCTTCCAAAGCTTTTCCACCAAGAAGAGGTCAGATCCTGTGTTTTCATCTCTGTATTGATTAATTTCAGTGTAATTGGCATGTCACTGTGCAAACATTTACTAATTGAAAAGACACTGTAATTTTATTTATTTGTACGTAGTATGATTTAGTTAAGTGAGTTTTGAGTCTGAATTTAAGCAGAGGGGGATAATCAGTACTACGGATCAGAGTGGCTGAATGGTGCCGAGACAGCTGGGAGGCACTGAGGTGCCTGGGGGAGGACGGACTGAAGGAACGAGAGATGAGGTGCCGAGGAGGGGCAAGGTTAGGAATAGGTTTTGAAAACTTTTTTTAATTACATTCTGACCGGAAGCCATTGCAGCTGCTGTGGTGGAAAGAGGGGGTTGTGATTACAACGTGAGCCGCTGAATTTTGAACCATCACA